ATGTATGCCCCCTCTCTGTCTCTCTGCTCTACTGGTCACCTTCTCCTGTCTGCTGCTCGCACCCTTACTGCAAATTCACGCCTGCAAGACTTCTCATGGGCAACTTCTGTTGGGGTTCTTGGTTTTGGATGTATTAGTATACGCAATTCAAAGGGTTTTACAATAACTATTGTGTTAAACGTTTAGGAGAACCAATATGGCTGCTGACTATGTGCTTCAAAGAGCATCAAGATGGCCACAAGTCATGTATCCTGGACAGCACCTAGTTACACTAACAATAGAGTTAATAGAGTTAATAGACATCACCTAGTTACACTAACAATAGAGTTAATGGAAGCCCACATATAATAATAACAAAGTATTTAACCTATTTGCAAGCATTCAAAACCAACCCTTTAATTTTGTACAGCTATAAATTTTAATTATTAGCTGCATAAGGTATTTTGGCAGAGTTATTTCCTAACAGGTAAAAAACAAATGACAATCACTTAGAATGGAGCAAAATGTAATGTTTAATAAAAAAATATAACAAATATTAATAAACATGTTCTAGCTAAACACTCGTAATACTAACTTCACATACTTTTTCTTCCAACTGTATAGGACGCAACATTAGGAAATGGCATGTAAGACTATTAGTACGTTTTAATGGGAATAATAACAAGAATATGAAACATAGCATTCCTAGACATTGCACCACCTGTAAGGAGTTTAATTTTAAAGACTTTAAATGTATTGGGATCGATATTATCACACCACACTGGAGAGGTGGGGACAAAGAAATTTTTTTAGGAATGAGGGAGACAGAGTGGATTTACAGAATGAAATCCTCTGTCCCCTCAGGTCTCTCTATATTTTTACATATGTATCTTTTCTATATATGTATTTTTAACATATTACATATATTTTTTTAAAGCTCATCTGAGGTCTATTGTCTCAGTTTTTCTATGTATAAGTAAATATTTTATTTTCTCTGAGATACCTTGAAACTAGTTCACATTTTTAGGATGCATTGTGGCTGTACTCTATTAACATATACCTTTGTGCTTGATTATTATCAGTATTAATACTATCATCCTTATGTCCATATGAAATTTAAATGTTTTACACAATATGGAAGTTTGATGAATTTGTGTGTTTTATCTATTAACTTTTTGATTAATGAATTTTAGAATGGAAGCAATACTTAGACTGTTTCACTACAATTAGAATATGACTAGTCCTGTTTATATGGATTATTGCCAATATTTCCTTTTTCTTGTGATCGAATAGATCAAGTTACATACTTTGCAACAATGTTTAGATATTTAAATGGACTTTTCTTCATACAACACATAGCTTTTAATTATTATTATTTTTTTTTATAGTAATTTCTACATCTTGTTTACATTGAGTCCTATTTATATAACTTTAAGGTTGTCAGTTTTCCTTTGTTAGAATGTAGTTGTGTTTAGGCAGGATTGTAAATTCAGATTGCTGAAATCTTGACCATTTCTGGCTTGGGACGTTCAGAATGCGGCCAGGAAGAAGACAGAAGCTCCTGAGGAAGTCGCATCGACCAAATGCGTAGAGCTCTATCAAGAACCCTGTTATTTGGTATAAGCGTCTTTTTAACATGTACACTTTGTATTTTTTGTAATATGTGCTTTTCCTGCATATTGTGAAGGAGCAGTGGGAGTTAGCTGCTGATTCCAGCGGCTTGTTAAGCACCCTGCACTTTCCTTTTCTATAGTATATTCTGCACTTCAGCATGTGGTGTATCACCAAATTAATATATATATTACACAAGGTGCGTCTACATTAAAAGGTATTTATTAAAAGGCAACAACACAATACTATAAATGTATCACAAACACACAGCCCAGACCCACGGAGCAACAACCCTTTTTAAATCTATCTATATAGTAACCCCTTCCCCACACGTTTGATCTCACCCACGGTTAGGCCTTCACATCTAGTAATGGCTCACTGCTGCAAGTTCAACATCACATCCACCAAGGAAGAAAAGGAAGCAACAGAGTGTTACATGGTTCACCATGCTAGCACATGGCGTCTGCTCAGTAGCACAGCCAAGAAGGAACAGAGAGGAATGGAGAAAGGGGGGAGTGGTTATCTCTCTCCTGACTTGTAAAGGTATTGAATTACCCAGTTACCATTTCAAAAGGTAAAGCTTATCCCACTGTACATGAGCTTGGTCACGTGATCCCTGGTCACCATATTAGTTAGATGACAGAATGTCACCACACAGCACATGCACTTCATAGCAGCATATCTTGTGTCATGTTTTATTAAAGCTGCTATCCTTAATATTGCGATATTTGCACGTGTTGTGCTATTGCCTAATTTCTTTTCTAATTATCAATAAATTGCATGTTATCTTTTTATTAATTGTTTGTTTCTTCTTTTTATGGAAAATCCTATAATCATTGGCAACTGAAATGATTGTGGCGCCCTGTTATCTTATATCGACTTCATTGTATAAAGCTCATTACAACGCTTTCCACACCTCTTTGTGATGTCATAACAGCCACGCAAGGTCCAATTACAGGCTTCTGAGTTTTACAGACTCAGAGCATATGCACAATTTCTGAGCTGGTGTTGGGAGGGAGGATTTAAAAAAAAAAAAAAAAAAATATATATATATATATATATACTGGCAACAGAGGGGGGATAAAGGTAGGGAAGGATAGCACAGTGGAAGAAGATTGTATTGTTTGTTGCCAGCATGCTGTATTTCCTGATGATGTAAAATATATAAATATGCACAGAATTTATATTAGAACAGAGTTCTGGGCTGCCTAAGTCATGTGCGCCAGAGTTGTAACAAGCCCCTGCACAAAGTACAGGATACTCAGTATGTGCAGAGTTTAAAGCTGAAACACTGCACATACATACTCCTACCATCATAACCACTTCAAATCACTAAAGTGGTCATGGTGGTTGGAGTGACCCATAAAGGTCATAGATTACTCCAATATCAGAGTTTGTTGTATAAATCCCATATATCCAAAATATAAGTATGTAATTTTCTATTGATAAGCATATTTTGTAAAGTATATATCTTTACAACTAGAGTTCAAACTAAGGTTTCCATGTGTCCAAAGGCTAGAATCATACTGGGCAGTGTTTTGAAAGCTTAATATGAATAAATCATATGAAGAATAGTTAAATCTATTTAATCCACAGTGTCTTTTTTCATCCATGCCATTAACAGATCAATCCATCCCTTTAATCCTTGTTTATGTCTCATAGTCAATTCTCTTCACCTTAATGCTATTGCAAATTTGATGCAGCTGCTTTCTCCGCGATATTGCTAAAATAAAATATATTTTCAGTTTTAATACAAGCATAATGGTAATGCATGGTTTGTTTCACTGTCATATTTTCCTTATCTAGTTTCCAATTAAATTTTGTATTCATTACTTCGTTTTTCCATTCGGTTTTAAAGTTATTTGTTTTCCAACTACAGCATGCCTTGCAAGGGCTCTACTTCTAAATTAAATGCTGTTCATGACTATTTTTTCATGAGCCTTTGGGTAATTATATAAACTTCCCATTATACAGTAGATTACTTCTGCGACTCCCACGTGCTCATTGTCTGCCAGAGGCTAATAACCCTTTTCCCTTGTACAAATAATATTTTTGATTTTGGTTTTGCCCACCCATATCTGCACCATTATCTTAAGGATACCAAATGTAAAGTTATTGTATGTATTTTTGTTGGAATTATCTTAAACAGAGAGTGAAATAAGAAAAATATATAATATTAGCTCTGATCTTATTGTCCCTTTAAGAAAATGTGTTACCATGGCAGGAATGATGTTGCTACGGCAACAGATTCATTCAAAAAGCCCCATTGTATTATGTTGGCCTTCCTGTAGAAATGTGTTTGGTACCTACAGACACCATGAAAATTTTGAAAACATTTTTTTTACTTTCTATGTTTACAAAGCAAAATAAGCTGTTTCTCTCATGGTCCTCGGCAAATTTTCTAAATGATTTGTAGTTCAACTTGGAAATGTAGAACATTTGTCAGATTAATTGCACAAAGCTTTTCATACAGATATTTTAAAAAAGTAATATTTATTCCATTACAAATATATATATATTTTTTAATCTTATATTTTAAAATTTTTAAAGCAAAGTTCTTTTAGTTTAAAATATCATCACCTGTAGAGATTCTAATGCCAATGTACACAACTTACATGGTTATTTATGCATTCTCTTCTACAGACATACTGGAAGTATGGAACATTTAATTATATAGTATTCTTTAGATTTCAACATTTTAGACAGGATCTGAACTATTACCAAATAAACTGAAAAATGTTATTATTTCCTACAGTGGTTGTGACAAAAATAGATAAACAAAAAAATTTCAAATTTGTTCATAGATATTTGTTTATTATGAACTGATGGGATTTATGGGAGTCAACTTATGTAAAAAAAATTATGTAAATGAATGTAAAATTTATCAGTGTTATTCACTAGAAAACTCTCTACTTCAGCTGTCTACTCCCAGTTCAAAGACTTTGGCCTAAAGTTTGAAATTCACTTTGAATTAACCTTGAATTTTCATTTTATTTAACCCCTTAAGGACGGCGGGCGTTCTATGCCATCCTTAAGAAACCGGCTCTAAATGCCGGAGGGCGGCATAGAACGCCCAAACCACCCTTTCTACTTACCCGATCACCGGCGAACGTGGTATGGGGACTCACCTGGGAGCCCAGGGAGTCCCCCTTCATCCTCATTGGCCCCCCTGGGCCTTGTGATCACGAGGTCCTTGCGAGGACCTCACGATCACATGGACGGCATAGCCGTCCAAGGCATTGTCAGCAGGGGGAGTGCCTGTAATGACAGGTACTCCCCCTGCTGTCTAAAAAAAATAATAAAAGTTTAAAACAGTATAAAATTAAATAATATATACTTAGATCATATATATATATACTTTTATATATATATATATATATATATATATATATATATATGATCTAAGTATATGTGTGTGTGTGTGTGTGTGTATATATATATATATATATATATATATATATATATATACACACACACACACACACACACACTGTCTACGTGTGTTTTAATATTAATATATATATAATTATAAATATATATTAATATCAAAATACACGTACAATGATATTGATTAAATATATATAATTTTCATTATATATTTTCATTATATATATATATATATTTATATAATATAAAATAAATAAAATATGTTAAAAAATGTAATAAAAAATACAAAATAAAAAATATATGTAAATTCGTTCTAACTGTATTTTAAAATATATATATATATATATATAGATATCAAAATACATGTAGAACGAAATAATATATATATCTATATACACAAGTATATACGTATATATATCACAATATATATATACCCATATAAATAAAAATTATATACATATAATAAATCAAACAGTATTATGACATTCACAGTTAGAATGTCACATAGAACTAAACATTTTTTAAAATTCTTATTTTCTCCCTTTTTTATATTTTATTCTTATTAAATTATGTTTTATACCTAAATACCTAAATATATGATGTTAAATGAAAGCCCTGTTTCCCCTGAATAAAATGATATATAGTAAGTGTGGGTGCACATAATATGAAAGAGGTGAATTACGCCTGAACAGACATATAGCGCAAATTCAAGTTTTTGTTTACGTTTTGTTTTGATCACAACGTGTACATTTGGCTCAGTCCTTAAGGGTTAATAACCCTGTATGTGTATGTGGGCATGATGCCCACATATTGTAAGCAATCTTATAGTATACTCCTGTGTCCCCTTTCCCTGACTTCATTAATGCAGCCATAAAGATTGACATTTACATGTGACTGTGCAGTGTGTGAAGAGGGAGAGGGCAGTCAAAAACATCTCTCTGCACAGATGCAGAGGAACACAATCAGGAATTAATTTTTCTATGGAATGAACCCGTAGACCTGCGACCTGCACTTCTGATGCTCGCCTTCAAGACTTCTCTAGGGCTGCACCATTCCTGTGGAACTCCCTTCCATTTTGCTCATCTATACTCCACTCCTTCAAACAAATCATTAAAAACTCACTTTTTCACAAAAGCATATCAATTAAACTGACAATTGCTTCAAAACCCCACACTAAGTCTTCATTGAATACTATTCTACCAATCTACTTCCCTAATACTTCCCTTACCTTTTGTGTCACTTTACCCCACTCCCTCTACATGTAAGCTCATTGAGCAGGGCCCTCAATCCCTCTGTTTCTGTGCATCAGACTTGTCTGGTTACAATTACATGTTTGTTATCAGGGTGGCGGCCCGGTGACCGAGACCCAGACACTGTCTGGGCAGCGGTCGGATGACCGGGACCCATATGCCTGTTGTTGAAAGTAGGAGTCACAGTGTGGAAGTGGATTAGCAGGTTCTGGTGCAGGGTAACCGCATGCCCCCTGGTGTTAAGCACCAGCGTTTGTGCGGCCATATACCAGGACCCTGATGGAGCTTCAGCGGATCCCAGGAACTAGGAGCTTGGAAATAAGCAGACCTCCCAGGAGCTGAATAGGGAGGCTCTGCAGCAGGAATGTATCCAGTACAGAAACAAGGCAAGACTAGAACAGACACAAACATGAAAACAAGACAGAACTAGTAGAAGCCAGAACCAGAGAAGGATAGGAAGCTAAACCCAGAACATGTACACAATATATAAGGGAAACATTAACAGAACAGACAGGACTGTACATGGACTGGGAAAACAAAATAAAACAAGACAAGATATAATAGGCAAAACAAGAGGAGACATAACTAAGTACTATATGTGAAAAACTACGGGGATTTAGTTACATTATATGATCATACATTGCATAAGCCTGCCACAACGCCAGTGTACCCCATATAGGCAGGTCCTACTCTAACTGCCTAATGTCTGCTAAATGAACAACAATAAAACACATACAGCACTTACCTGCAAGAAAAGGCAGAGGACTTGAGCAACTGCCTGCAGGGACCAACTGAAACAAAAGGAATCATGGAAAATGGGTGTGGCAACATAAAACTAGCATTTAAAGGAATCCAAGAGACTGGGAATTCCAGGAACGGAATAAAAGAATGAACCCACCATAAAGAAAACCAGACATGGAATAGAAAACCAGAAAAACTAAACAAGAATTATAAAAAGAGTATTGGATACCAGAAGCCATTTCCAGAATGATCCGCAGCTAGGAAAAGGATGTGACATTTGTTAGTCCACCCATTGTAAAGCGCTACGGAATTTGTTGGCACTGTATAAATATAATAATAATAATCACTGGGAAAGGTGGATGCAAGCAAACCTTTAAAGATGAATTTAATATTGTGTTGCTTTGTAACACAAAATTGAATGTAGTGTTCATACACACATTATTGTGAGATATTTTACATCTTGTCTGCAAGAGTGATACGTCTTTTGAGAGAGACAGTTCACTATTTATTAGACCTTAAGTTCAATGTTTTCTGATATTTAGATTTAGCAAGCCAATGGTGGGCCTTCATCCTGCCCACAGTATTACATACAATAGGCATGAGACATGCCTCTAGTGCCGCCCACACTGGCCTCCTAGGAGACAAGATGTACGGCTTGTCTGGGACAGGAGCATTGTATGTATTGTCTGCCGAGTGAGACTCAGTTTGCCGCATGTTACTTTATAATGCCACAAATTCTGTTTGTACTATTTTGCAGACCTGTCTTAAGGTATGGTTTACATTTTTCCCTCTATCTTTTCTCTATATTTTTCTTTCTTTTCTCACTAATTACTGCTTATTCACAATGTTTTCTAATTGCATAAGTATTTACTCTTGTGTTTACCAACTCATACTACCAGTAGTGTGTGTAGATTTATATACATAAATATATACCAATGTGTTATGTACTCTATTCTGCTCCTATAGTGATTGTGTATTTTACACAGTTTAAATACTTTAGACTGCCATTTTATTGTATTTACAATGCCATTTTTTCTGTACTCACAATGCCCTCTGTTATCTTAATATGTCTTTTTTTCCAGGTTGTAATTAAATTTTATTTTTGTTGTAGTTTGTACATTTTGTTTGGACTCTTTTCTTACCCCATTGCCGTAGTAACTGCCTACACCCATTTTGGTAGAGGCTTACAAATTTGGCTCCATATTGTAGGTACTTAAACTGTTTGCTGTCTATAGATTCTTTATACATGATCAAGGTCACTAGGCCGAAACGCTGCATTTTGTTGTGTTCACTGCCTAAATATATTGCACTTTGCTTCCGACCTGTTGAACCTGTGGATTTTGCTTGATTTTCAGATTTATCTATATTTGTTCCTTATTATATTAATTTAATTTCTTTAATCCAATACATAATTCTATTGCCTATATGGAAGTAATTTTCCTCATGTTGGCGCTGTATAAATGGAATGGTACTGTACACTTATGCATCATGAATAGTCCTGAAGATATGATCTTTGCTTTGTGCACAAGTATCTACATATTGAATAAGAAGTAGAAATACAAATTTTATCTTTAGGCTAACCATATTAGTTACGTTGGTATTTAAGCAAAAAAATGTGTGCTTATTAATCATATTTGCTCAAGCTATCATAAAAATTCATCTTTGATTTTAAGTTCATTTTGTTCAGCAAAGTAGAGTTGGATTAACCTCGGGGTCCAGGCACAACTATAGATTCTTTGTTTAAATCTGGACAGAAGCCAGATCACAGTATAAGCTTTCGATTAATGAAAGCAAAAATTCAGTATTAGAAGCAGACATAAGGATAATGATTTTAACCCCTTGCCATGCCAATGCAGCAACTAAAGAATAATTTAGTTTAAAAAGTTTCAAATGTTACTTTATGTTTTCAACAAACACCTGGTGTTTAACCTGCGCAATAAATTTCCAGAACACAATATATTCTTTGACCTGCCTAAGTAGCGCATGGCGTCAAAGCGGGTTCTGTTACTAATAAAATGTAATATCTCAGCATAGGACTATAAGTACTTCTGTATTGCTATATTTAAAATATAAAAAGTCCATTTTTATTTATTTTTAAATGTGAAATAAAACAAAGTTGTTTGTGAAAAATTGCATGTAAACTTTCAGATTCCAAAGTATGAGAATTTTTACAAAAGTATGTTCTGAAGACAGTCCATCATCCTCATCTAAACATTTTCAAAGTTGTAGAACAAAAATCTCTGTAGATCTTCTGAATATTATGATTGCAGACCAGATGTAAGATAAGAAAAAACAACATCTCCAACATGAGGGTTTTTTCTTTTTTTCTTCACAACCAAAAGTGGTTGACAGGTGAAAAGCGTATGTATGATAAATAATTGTAATAAAGACAAAATTACAAATTCACTGATAACTAGGGCTCAATATTGTTTAATAGGGGGGTCAGGCAACCAGGCACATGGCATACCTTTGTCTAAGTTGTATTTATGTGGCCATTATGAAAAGAGGAGGGTTGCACTCAATCACAAAAATTAACCCAGGGTGCACTGAGCATGGGTCAGCAAACCCCATATAATCTACATAAATTAAAAAAAAATCTCAGGCACTCACTGTGTTATGGTCAAGGCAGTTTTTATTGGATCTGCATCGTTTCGACCTGTATTGTTTCGACCAGCTTGATAAAGACCTGGGTACAGGTCAAAACATTGCAGATCCAATAAAAACTGCCTTGAACATATCACAGTGAGTGCCTGAGATTTTTTTCGTTTATGTATTTATGTGGCCAGTCATGACTGGCTGGCCATGATAAGTGTGGAGCCCTCCAACTGAAGGCAATGTACACATAGCAATAGTTTAAAGAAGTTCTTCTCTCTACCTTAAAAACTTGATGCATAATCATTTCTGGTTATTTGCATACAGTTGGACAGAGCTAGAGACAAAATGGTGGCCATACCCTCAGCCTTGCTGGTTTGCTCTCAGTAAATCATGTCAGTCGATACATTACCTTCTCCCTCAAGGGAGTTCAGCCTCTCTCCCTTGGGCAGTCTCCAGTACACGGCCCTGTGCAAAGGTGACCCCCTGGAGAGACCCCTTAAGTGACCGGGGGTTCTAAC